AAGTCATACATAATTTTAAGACCCATGAAGACCAAAAAGGACGTAGATAAAACTTAGTTGAAAATCAAAGCTAAAATAAAACTAAACACTTGCAAAGAACAAACTTCTTGGAAACAGAAAACAGAAAACACAATGGAAACATAAAGCACAATAAAAACACAATGAGAACATAGAAACCAAAGTACAAATCCACGCTTCCTTAGCCACTTTTCTTTGATGCCGACTCCTTCTTGCTACCTTTTTCTTTTTTCACAAACACTTTGGTGGATTGTTTCTTTGATGAAGAAGTGAGTTCAGTTGCATCTTCTGTAATGGCAATTTCTTTGCGTTTTGATGAAGGGGTTGCTACAGAGTCCTCGGTAGCTTCACTTTCAAGAAGTAAAAGTGAACTCTACAAAAGAAACTCAGTTATCATATAGGTAGGGTCATTAAGATGGGATTGAAAATTTATATATCAAAAAGTCAAAACAAACCTGATCACCACTAAAATTAGTAGTTGCAGATGGAGTACATGATTCTGTGACACCAGCAGTCAATAGCATACTTAGATCACTCCACACTTTACCAACCTTAAAATTCCCACTTTTGCTTGTAAGATTGTCCTTCTCGATAAAAACTCCAAACATGAAAGTTTTACCAACCAAAGAAGTAATGGCTTCAGGAAATGAATCGATATCTTGTAGCTGTATAATGAATGTAGAGTAACATAATCAATCTCTTCTATCTGTACAATGAATCTAATTTATTAAAAATAACAGTGTACCTCCTCAAATGAACCATTAAGAAGGTTAAGCGCAGTCTCAGGCACAATTCCTTGTGCAGTCCAGTCCAATATCATGAGTGTAGCTTCTCCAGTACCATCCTTAACCATCACATGAATCTTGAACCTGCATAATATAATAAACATAATTAACTTTCGCATGAAAACTGTGATCTATAAAAACGTTTTGTAAAAGAATATTACTTTGGTGAGACATCTGTAACTTTAACGTTGCAAACTTCACACCACCAAACATGAGATTTTATCTCTTTTCCATTAACTGTTTTGACTGACTTTGAAAACGGAAGAACCTTTTTTCCCTGGCAACCATTGCATCCGAAATAGTACCATCCCCAATCCTTATCAATAGCATAGATCGTGCTAATGATTCTGCATTGCCCAATCTACATATATAATAGATACAGATTAGTGTTTAATAGATAAATCACTGTGAATACAGAAATTGAATATATAAATATAACCTGAGTTGATTCAAGCAGCTCTCCAATGTCTTTCTGTGGGAACTGCATCCATTTATCACGTCTTATTTCCCGCTCAACTTTGTCTTTTTCGGATTGATATGTTGTCAAATAAAATGTTGTCATAGCATTGGATGGTTCAGCCCTATAAAAACATAAATTAACATAGATTTGTCATAATATTCCATTAGCTTTATCTAATTTATTAATCTGTTATGAAAACCTTTTTAAAATCTCATCTGACTCCTTTATTGGTGGGTTGAAAAAGACCTGAGATGCATCAAATGCATTGGAGATCTGAACCTGGCCTGCATATTATCAGTATTGATAAAAAAAAATCAGTAAACTCTCATTCAAGATAAATTATAAACAATATAATTAAAAAATATACAGAAAATGATGTAGGATTACCTCGATAGGTGCCAATTTTAGCAAAACGTATTAGGCATACTACAATTCCTTCACCAGCTTGTTGGCTGAAAGTGTGTATTTTTTCAGCGAACTTTCCCCAGAAACAGCAAGCTATCTTTTGATCACTGTTGAAAACATATATTTGAAGCTTTTTAAAAAAAAATATATGATATAAGAAAAAAATAAAATGAATATCTTACTTGATGTCGCTCAAGCTGAACTCGATCTTCTGTTTTGGTTTACCGTGACACTGCACAGTTTCTAGATCTCCCAATTCAATCACTTGTCCAATAACATCTAATTTTGTAAACATCATATATAAGATACGTAATCAAGTTTTGAGCAATATAGAAGTGGAAACTTTTATGGCTATTAAACTAACCAATTAAGATGGCTGTATCAAGTTCTCCACTTTGAATACGTTCAAAGTCAACCAAACTAAGAAACATGTTGTCGTCTTGTAGGGTTGAAGGAGTGATATCAGTGGTGTGAATGAAGGCAATCTTGTATTGATGATTGGTAGTCTTGTAACTGCCGCCATTATTAGTCACCGAGAAATTATCAATGTTTCTCCAAAAACCAACAGGTACTTTATTCTCCAACCTCTCAAAGTACGCCTTCTTACATGTTGCATGGATTTTGTTACCCTTCAACATAATAAGAATTTAGATGGAGTTAGAAATAATGAGAAGAAATAACAGAGAGAATGATTAGCAAGTTAAGAGACGTACATATGCATCAGACAAAACAACTTCCAAGGTTTCTCCTGAAAGAGGTGAGAATTGCTTCCATGTATGTAGGACCTTAACTTGTAGACGCCATGCTGTTTTGTACGGTCTAACCTGGTTGATAAAGCTGAGTTCCATGATTGAAGTGCAGTTTCTGTAAAGAATAAAGGTGGGGAAGAGTTATGGAGAGATTGCAGTATTTATAAGCAGTTATGGTTTTGAGAAACAAAACCACGATCTCTACTGCTTACTTACGGTTCGTAGATTTACTTGAGGAGAAATCAACCACGTTCTTTTAATAAACGTGAAAAAGACTATTAAAAACTGTATGTTGATGAATCATAACTGCTTATTCGATAGAAGAAGATCGTGGTTGATTAGAAGAGATTAAATGAATACAATAACGTAAAGGTTGAATAATTTGAAAGATATATCCAGTGGCATTTAAAGTAGTATTTAGGTTTGATATGATTTGGAAAATATTTTGTTAACAAAAGATGAAATATAAGTGAAGATTTCACGGTATTAAATATATATAGATCTGTTGTTCAAGCATAATACATAAATATATAATAAATAATATTCTTGGAATGTAATAAATTTAGTAAAAAGTATATATTCGAGAATGACACAACCATTATTAGTAGTAAGAATTTAGATCTAATTTTTGGAAAAAAATAATTCACTGCTTTTTTAAAATTGCAACATTCGAAATTATTGTTGTACAACATATTTTCGGTTGACACAATAAAACATCTTCGTGACTTATCCAATATTAATGAACGTGGGTATATCAGAATTATTAAAAAAAAGTAAGGCCAGTGGCATGGAGAAGTAATATTCCAGGGAGTTGTAGGGGTAAATATTAGCAATGATTCTGTTTTAATAAAATTGATGCTTACCAACAGAATTTGCGCCATTGATGGAGGTCTTTGTACTATCAGCCTCCGAGTTTGGTCATCGCCAGCCAACCCCCACACTCTTATTTATTTTTGGTGTTGTTGTTAACAACAATGGCAACTTTTGGTTCATAGGCTTTTCAAATTTTCAACACTTTGTGTGTTATGTTGAAGGTAACAAATTTTTGGTTAGAGATGTGGAAAAAAACGCGTATTCGTAATTAGAAAATAATAATAATTGGTTTCTATATAAACTCTTTAGATTGCCTTTTTATTTATATTTTCTTCCTCTTTGTATAAATAAATTAGAGGTAATTTAGAAATAATGTTTAATTGCTAAATATAAACACAAATAAATGATGAATGGATGACAAACAAGTAGATGATAATAACATATAAACAAATTTGCAGGATAGAGAATCATTAATGAATTTTTTTTGAAACAAATCATTAATGGATTAAATCTTGTTTATATAATGGTAATTAGATGATAACTTACATTCTTTTTTGACATTCCTATATTGCAATTTTGATGATTAATTGGTTTTATTTTAAATGAAATATTGTGTTTGGAAATATCAAACCTAAAGTCATTGGTTGGTGCTCTTTTTCATTTCTCTTCTTTTCATGCATCTTTTTCTGTATTTCCTTGTTTTTGTTTCTTTCTATCATTCTCTCAAATGTACATATTTGTATAATTATATTCACAACCGTCTTTCAAACTGGATCGGAATCAAATTCCTGATCGGTTCAGCTTGGTATTCTCAACAGTCTTTCTATAGTTATACTGGTGGATTCAATGCATGCATAAAACGGAAATCCCACCAAGTCATATAAGAGCATCCTTATTGCTCGGACGATTTTGACTCCTTGTTTAGGGAAATGATAAGGACTGGAAAACAAAAGCAGGAAGAAGGCAAAGGACGAGCAAAGACGTTCCTTGTTTAGGGACTTTTCTCCTTCTCTCTCTTGGTCCTCCTCGTTTTTGACGAAGGACTCGCCAAAAGGACCGAGCAATAAGGATGCTCTAATGTAGTAGTATTCTATGCATGACGATATGTCACACATTCACACCAACACAAATATTTCAAAGAAAACTACTAAATGTGTTTAATATAATTTTAAGCTTTATTTACGTGATTTTGGTAGGAAGATGTGCTTTTCAGGTTGGCACATTTTCTGCTAGTCAGCCAAAATAAAAACATGTGCACCGGATTTTACAGATCGCTTTATTCTCGTATACAACATTCGTTTACAGTGGATCAAATTTCTAAGTAAATCTAACATTTTTCGAACTTCTAAATCTTTTTTTAGATAAAGAAAAAAAGATTTTGAAGTTCAAAAAATGTTAGATTTAATTGTTTGATTATGGCATAATGTTACTCTATCTTATTCTAAGGGAACATTAGTACATAGCATAGATACTACACACACACGATAGCTTCCCTCATGTGAAAGATTTAATATTTTTGATCTATGTTAACGACCATGAAGCCAAACAGCGAATATGTAAATACAACTTGACACGATGAGTGATTACAACAGTCAAGTCTGTATAACTGACACAGTGTTCATTTTCTTACTAAATCTCGGAATGTTTTTCTGTGTTTGCCGCCTTTTCTTAATTTCAAAAAATATTTTTGGAACATAAAACTATATAATATACACTAAAGTATGCCCATTTGGTTCATCAATTGTGTAATATAAATTTGGATCCCTACATAGGTTGTATAGTCATTTAAATTAACAAAATTGTAAAAGACTTACAAAAGATACAGAGAAAGAAATTATGTTTTTATTAACATAACTTCTTTATAACCAAAAATATTTTTACAAAGGACAATTGCAGGTTTATCTAAAGAGTATTAATTATTTACATACATACCAGAAGCTCCCATCAACACAGGGAAACGAGGCAATTCAATCTAGAGGTCACATTTATATATATAAAAACATAATTTTAAATGTATATATATACCAAAATGAGGAAAGATTAACATAAAATTTGTATATGAGAAGACGACTTGTCGGAGAAAATCATATATGAAGAACAAGTAAACAACATGTATGTATATATATGAAATGTGTCTGTGTATAGAGACTACACACGAAAACGTATCATCAATGGCCAATACCGGGGCTTGGGACATCACCTTGCCTTTTATAGATGTCATCATCATAATCAGGTACTGGTGGTGATGGTGATGTTGAAGAGGCTCCATCGTCATAATCACCTGAATAATCAACTTCCAAAACTGTAACCATCAACTTTCTGTTCTTTATCGTTGGTAAGTATTCTACTTCGTGCAGTGCTCCCAACTCAGATCTAGTGTTGCCTCTCATTTTGAACCCGAGAATGGAAGGAACTACAGAGATGAGTAAGAAAGAGAGTAATAACAAGCGAAGTTTAATCTTCCTTTCATCCATTACGTGTAGCAACTCCTCAAGAACACAATCAAATTAAATGGTGAAAATAAGAGAATTTTCGATTGTATATTTGGGTTTTCTTTCTTCTTGATGTCTTTAACGTGCAAGAAGGGAGTGTGGTGTTGTTGTTTATGTTATAGTGCATATATATAAATAACTACATAGAAAAGAAACTTTGAATTATCAAATTTGGAGGGCCAACTTTGTTGAAATTGGCAAACAATGGTCATGATGGATTTATAACATGGCCATTTCTTACTTTTTCTTCTTTTCTTTGGTTTCTTTATGTTATCTTCCTTTTATCGTAATGATCCATCATTGCATGCTTTGTTCCATGATAAGTCATATATTTATTGGAAAATTTGGTAAGACAATATATAAATTGTGAGTAAACCCTATATTATGATTTGGTTTTTAATTAAAAACAATTTAAACTTTTCAAAAAGTTGCATTGACCACAAATAATTTAATTATTACTCATGGAAAACTAGTATTTTCTTGAAGAATTTTAAGCGTAATTATAGGACCTAATATGCACAAATAATATATTTTTTAAACTATATATATATTGTCTTTTACCCAAAAAAACTATATAAATTGTCTATCGTCGAGTTCGCCCTAAAACTCTCTCTGGTCCAGTTCCCTAGGTGCCGCTTCCATGGCTTCTCTCTGCAGTTTCAGCTTGGTCAGTAGGTCGTATACCCTTTGAAGCAGCTCACCATTCTCATGGTTCCTTTGATGTATCCGTCTCCTCCGTCGCGGCTCCGTCCCCCATCTTCTCCGTCGCAGCTCCGTCCTCCTCCCGATC